GGGGGGGGCTTTGTTTATCTTCTTTATTCTGAGTTCCATTGGCATACTGTACATGGGGGGGGGCTTTGTTTATCTTCTTTATTCTGAGTTCCATTGGCATACATTTTATTTTATTTTTAATGGTTAGGGCAGAATCTTTATTTCATTTACTTATTCGTGTGTAAAGAGGGGGATGATTGAGAACAGTTTTAAACTCGGTTATGACATAACTTCGTTTTACTGTCAAAAACTGGTTTTAAAACATAGTAAACCCTAATATTATCTTCTCTGAACGACGTTTTGTCTTGTTTTGTTTGCATGTAGTTTTTTTTTCGTGTATTCTATTTTACAAAGGTACTTTTGTGTTCGTTTTTTTTATTAAAGTTCTGAAATATATATATAACATCGAGACAATCGCAGTGATATTTTGATAAGACTGGCTGTGAATATTTTAAAAAACGCACTTAGTACTTCCATTATTTTCTAGTTCTTCCATGACGTCATTCTGTGCCACGTGCTCAAGGCCAGCTGATCCTATAAGCAGGTAGAATGAACGTAGTTGTCATGGTGAATTCGGTTTCCTTCATTCATCGCCTCTGGAACTCTTGACGTCACCTGACGTGTAGGTTTTTAGACGAGTCAGGGAGTGTAGTGTCAGATTAATTAGATGAGAGGTTTATAGTTCTAAGTTCTTACTGATACTCCTTCTTGTAATAAGGAATAAACAGTTTTTGATTTTATATTTCAGTCCGGATGAGTGGATATTTAGTTTTTGATCATAATTGCTGTTATGGTGCAAGTTCCTAATAATAAGTGTTAGCAAAGATTTAAAACTGTCCTTTTTTTTGTGGTACACCTGTGTAGGCTTTAACCTCGTTTTCTGTGATGGAGCAAATTCAGGTTTTTTTTTTTTTTAACCACGCTCTCTGTCACACGTGTTTTTCACCTTCTGTCGTCGTTATCTAAATTTCATCCTTTTTCGTTCTTTCACTCTCACATTGCAAGAAATATTCCTCCCGTCTTTCAAACATTCCGTCGTTATTAATACCATTTTGTCTTTATTTATCGTATAGTTTCCAACTTCTTTTGACATAAGCACCGAAAGTTCTTCCTCAAAAACGTACCGTATTTGGTGTTCGTTTCACTTAAGGACAGCGAGCGAATAGCGCGTGTCACTCACTGATCCTATATCTTACCTAATGCACGACCTACTGAAAGATTAAACTTAGCAACTATATAAGCGTAGCGGAAAATAGAACAGCTTCTGTAAGTAAGGTAACACGTGCTTTAAGTATTCAGTTGAAATGGATCGTCCGTGAAAGCTTGGATGTAGTGAAAGTGATGATTATATATGTGACATTCAGTTTATTCGAACTTTTAAATTTCCTTTCGAG